TTTGGGCCTTACCCTACTCCCCTTCGTGGAGTCGGAAAAACCCCGGCCATCCCTTCCAATGTGCCCGAAGCACGTTGTCTCTGGTAGGGATGACTGCGTGGGCCGCTTGCGCTTGCGGGTGGAGGGGTGTTTGGAAAGGCCGGGAAAGTCCAGCTGGCCAGGATTGCCGATGCCGATATCTAGCGGCCGATTCTCTGGTCCCTTAGCCTTGGGGCTTTATGGTAAGGGTTTCCAGAACCTAAATGATGGCATGACCTTCATCATCCTAAAAACTATTTAATTTATGTGTCGAACCGGTCCGCTAAAGAAATTGCCATTGCCCTAAACGGATTACAAAAAACTCATAAATGGTCGCCCGTACCATAAGGCCATTTCCAAACCTCTTACCTTAACATAACGTGTTGTTTGAGGTTGCAACGGAAGGACACAGGGTGTTTGTAAAACTCAACTGGACTTTATTTTGCGTGGTACACGGATGACGCGCGGAGCGGATATTCGGCGGAATAGTTAACAAGAAGAAGCTACTGCAGTTTCTTGCCTCCGTTATTTATATACTTTCATAGGCGTGTCCTTTTTGGGAGACTTGCTGTCTTTCTTTTACCCCCGTTCAGTTTGGCGGGGGAGACAGCTATCGTCCAACCTTCATTGTAGGGGTGCGCTGGCCGTTCGGCCGGGTAGCGGTACGTTTTCTGCCTGCCGAACCCTTGCCGCTACAGTTTTTAATTTCTTCTTTTCATTCCAAGTAATATCAAAATTAAATGAATTTTAGTCATCGTCTAGTAGACCAATCCCTCTGTCATCTAAAAAAAATTCAAGTCATTTAGCTCAGTTTTGAGAAAGTTATTGCGTTTTAAAAGGTGTACGAACACTTTTGTGAGCCACTTTATACAAAATAGTGATGAAGTTATGAATAAATACGTAGATGCAGATTAGGCCGCAGATGAAATGGAACGCAAATCAACCACGGGTGTCATAATTAGAATCTTTGGATATCCCATAATGTGAAAGTCAAAAAGACAAGGAGTAGTGTTGAGGAGGTGCTACCTATGAGGGGAATGCTTAATGATTTTTAAATCTACGAAGATAATACTGGTGCTATTGCATTAGCAAAAAATGGCAGGTTTTCAAAAAGGTTCAAGCACATCGATGTCAGCTATCACTTTGTGGAGGACTACTATAAAAAGAATGTAATAAAGATGACTAAAGTGGATACCGAACTGCAACTGGCTGATATTCTGACTAAGCCAATGTGTAAACAAAAATTAGTGTAGAACTAAGTGAAATAAAATGTAGGTTAGGCTTGTCAGACCTAAATCAAGGATGTGTGTTAAAATTATGATGCATGATTTAGGTCCGGCGAAGTTGCTTTTGTGTGTGTCTATGTGTATGTATCAGTGTGACAACATACTAGTAAATACGATATCACAAAATGTTAAATTTATTTATTTTATTTCTGTCTCTATATGGAACTTAAAACTACACTATATTATATGGTTGAATTCATTTTAATGCACGCTTTCATATGATGTAAAAAAATATGTAGCTTTGCATTTTTAAAATGAAGGTCACATTTGTTTCTCTATAACTTCCTCTGTTTCCGTCTCTTTTCCTAATGGTTAACGTTTACAAAACAAAAACGCTGGTACAAATTATCGCAAACACCCTGTATAATCTCTAGACTGCGGATCCTCATGCAGAATTAATACAGCTTTGTGTTTTGTTTATTCATTTTTTTTTATAAATGCATAGGTGATTCACCTATATTCATCTAATATTCTTAGAAATATTCACTTTATACTTATTATTTCAGGCTAGCAACATACTAATACAGTGGACAGCTATTATAACTGTGAGCGTATTTCAAATTTTTTATTAAAAAGAGATTATAGCTAATTCAATTAATCAAATTCACTTTTCAAGTCCTTTCACATTTTTTCAGGAGGAACATCAGTTATCTAAACTGATTTTACGTAGAGCTTATGAATAAATAGCTATGAATAAATCAAATAGTAATCTTATAATTGACTTACCCATTTACTTGATTCTTGTGTTAAACAACAAATGACATGCGTAAACGGAACCCAAACAGCAAGTGTCGCCAGATTTGTAGTCAAAGCAGCCACCAACATCTACCCAAATATAAAATTGAAAATACACCTATTATAACATTTAATAACAATTGCAATGTGCTTTCTCGATGAGAAATACGCTATCCAACAAAATCAAACTTTTTTCTCATTTCCTATAGCCATTACTTTCTGAACAAAAATCCGAAAAACCAAATTGCTCCATCTCCCTCAGTTTTCGAAAAAAGCGAGCTTTTGTAAAAGCCCAGAATTTTCGACAAAAATTAGGTATTGCATGAAAAGTAAACACGTTAGAAAGTTCTCTCTCTCTCTCTAATCGGTCTTATAAGATAAAGGAAAGTTTCCCGAATATAGTGTCATACAATTTATTAATTGTTTTTGGTACTAAATAGCTATAAATTAATGTCAAATTTTAAATAAGTGCCTACGTACGTAGTTTTTTCGCAATATTTTTGTATTTTTACGAAAAGTTCTTTGTCTAGCATGAAAACTCTAACCAGGATCGGATTCTATAGACATTTCTGAAGAAGAAACGGCCCGATAGGATTGTCGGAACGATTTACATTTCGAACAGGCCGAAAAAATATTCGTCGGCAACGAATTGGAATATCTATGGAGACTTGAAAGTAATTGGAATGCTATTTGGCTTGCAAATCATCATCATTTTCTTGCGAAATAAAAATCAAAAAATTACGTTATCATCGTGAATGAATTATTAAAAAACTGTGAAAGACTCGGGAAATAATATGTCTTTGAAAATTCATTTTTTACATTCTCATTTAGACTTTTTTTCATCAAAACTCGGTGATGTGAGTGACGAATGTGTTGAACGTTTTCATCAGGATATAGTTATCATAGAAAGTGATACCATGGAAAGAAAGTTTCTACGGTACTTGCGGATTATTATTGGTGTTCTATGATTGATAACAAGGTTATGTCAAGGTTATTTATGTCAAGGCACTTTTGACTATTTTTGCGTCGAGCATGCTACATGTAACTAAATTTAATACGAACTGTTATTACTTTCCTCCTTTTTCTTATCTTCTGCTGTTGATACTAGCCTTTAAATTATACAACAATTTTGTTGAGGACTCATCAGATGGATGACGGAGATCCTCTGAATATTGCACTTGGTGCCGACTAACTCGAAGGACCACCCACTGTAGTGGGACTAAATGAATTGCTAGTACTCTATTTGTAACGCGCAACCTAACCGTTACGCGTATCTCTCTATGTCTTCTGTTCTGTTCTGTCTGAAAGTCTAAGGTGTTCTCTTCTGAAGCTCTAAAAATGTTCTGTCTCTTCTGATGTTCTGTGCTTTCTGTGCTTTGGGCCTTACCCTACTCCCCTTCGTGGAGTCGGAAAAACCCCGGCCATCCCTTCCAATGTGCCCGAAGCACGTTGTCTCTGGTAGGGATGAC